AGAATAAATGACACCTTTATTGAAGATGCAGCAATGACTGATGAGACACTGTGTCCTGGGAGTGCCTTTTCCTCCTGAGTACTGTAGGTCTTGTTTGGCATTTTCTTCCAGAACAGGCCTTATCACACTGTGTATGTCACTACGATTCTTAAATCTCTCAAACCAACCTTTGCTGGCTTTAAATTCACCAATATGAGCACTAGTTCCAGGCATTTTTCCCTGTTCATCTGGGTGTTAGTCGACTGGTGTGGGTTGCATCCTGGGAGACAAGATTAACCCTTTGACTGTCGCGGCCGTATATATACGTCTTACGAGGTACCGTGTTTGACGTATATATACTCATAAATTCTAGCGGCTTCAAATCAAGCAGGAGAAAGCTGGTAGGCCTACATGTGAGAGAATGGGTCTGTGTGGTCAGTGTGCACCATATAAAAAAAATCCTGGAGCACGCAGTGCATGAGAAAAAAAAACTCCGACCGTTTTTTTTAATTAAAATGCCGACTTTGTGGTCTATTTTCGTATAGTATTTATGGTTGTATTCTCGTTTTGTTGGTCTCATTTGATAGAATGGAAGACATATTATAGAAATAGAGATGATTTTGATTGATTTTACTATAAAAAGAACCTAGAAATGGAGCTCAAAGTAGGGGAAATGTTTGATTTTTGCCAATGTTCAAAAGTAAGCAAATGATGCCATTTTCCAGTAAATGTCCAACTAGCCATTCTAATATGCAGTCATGAATGGGTTGATGTTATTTATACAATTATTACAGTATTGCAGTAGTCTGCATAATAGTAAGTCTTCAATTTTTTGTTTGAATAAAAATTCAAAATAGAAAGCAAGAGTAATATCAGAGGGGCCTGGAAACACGACTGATGAGCAAAGAAAATGTTATTTTAGAGCCAGGAATGTCTGCATTGTTCATTCTGGACCTTATTTTGAAATTGTCATATTTTTTAGTTTTCGTGAAATTGGCCAAATTGCAAATTTCTGACCACATTATTAGGTAGTTGAAATCGGTAAATGGGCAGTTTCTTGTACTCAATCGATAGAAAAAATGGAGTTCTAAAGAAATAGCTATGAGTTTGGGCGACTGGAACAATGGAATTAGCCAAAAATAGGGCTCAAAGCGGGCGAAATCGCCGATCTATAAACGGCGCCGAGGTCGCTAACTTCGCGAGAGCATAATTCCGTCAGTTTTCCATCAAATTTCGTTTTTTTTTGGTGTCATTACAATCGGGAAAAGATTCTCTATCGATTCATAAGAAAAAATATTATTTTTTTTTTTTGAAATTTTGCGACACCAGGACGTAAGACGTATATATACGGCCGTGACAGTCAAAGGGTTAAGGACCCCAATGGAAATAAGTTAGTCCTCGATGATGCACCGACTTTCTTGGGTTATCCTGGGTGGCTAACCCTCCGGGGTTAATTGTTTCTCGGTAATTGTTTCACGTTAAGCCACACCAACAACACTCTCTCTACATCTTCGAGTAATACAGCTGATGGTGGTGCAGCAACAACAATAGCTGTAGTGCAGCTGACCATGGTGCAGCAGCAGCTGTGGTGCAGCAACAGCTGACTGGTCCAATTTATCAGCTGACCGTGGTACGATAGTATTTATCACCCTTTTTACCACAGGGTAGGCACTAGAAGCTTTCTTTGGGCCCATGGTGGCTTATTTAGCAGTTACAAGCACTATAAATAATGGAATAATACAAAATGTATCGAATGTATGCATGCAACCGGCCACCCTGACTTGTAAACAATGACGGCAAGGCAGGCGCTCAGGCTGGACGGACAGGTTCGGGACGAGTCATGTTCAGAAACAGCTGATGGTGCAACAGCAGCTGACCGTGGTGCAGCAGCAGCTGACTGATCCAGCAACAGCTGACTGATCCAGCAACAGCGATTCTTAAATCTCTCAAACCAACCTCTGCTGGCTTTAAATTCACCAATATGAGCACTAGTTCCAGGCGTTTTTCCCTGTTCACCTGGGTGTTAGTCGACTGGTGTGGGTTGCATCCTGGGAGACAAGATTAAGGACCCCAATGGAAATAAGTTAGACCATCTTCGATGACACACTTTTTTGGGTTATCCTGGGTGGCTAACCCTCTGGGGTTAATTGTTTCTTGGTATTCTCAATAAGCCACACCAACAACGGTGCTACAGCAGCAGCAGACGGTACTACAGCAGCAGCAGCAGCAGCTGATGGTGGTACAGCAGCAGCAGCAGCTGACAGTGCTACAGCAGCAGCAGCTGACAGTGCTGCAGCAGCAGCAGCTGACAGTGCTACAGCAGCAGCAGACGGTACTACAACAGCAGCAGCAGCAGACGGTACTACAGCAGCAGCAGCAGCAGACGGTACTACAACAGCAGCAGCTGACAGTGCTACAGCAGCAGCAGCATCAGCAGTTGACCATGGTACTACAGTACAGTGGACCCCCGCATAGCGACTTTAATCCATGCAAGAGGGCTGATTGTTATGCAAAATGTTCGGTATGCGAATGAATTTTCCCCATAAGTAATAATGGAAATCAAATTAATCCGTGCAAGACACCCAAAAGTATGAAAAAAAAATTTTTACCACATGAAATATACATTTTCCTACACACAAAGAGAAGGATATATGCACAATAGTAGAGTAGTACATGCACAATATATATTGTGCATGTACTACTCTACTAAATGAAGAATAAATGACACTTACCTTTATTGAAGATGCAGCAATGACTGATGAGACACTGTGTCCTGGGAGTGCCTTTTCCTCCTGAGTACTGTAGGTCCTGTTTGGCATTTTCTTCCAGAACAGGCCTTATCACACTGTGTATGCCACTACGATTCTTAAATCTCTCAAACCAACCTTTGCTGGCTTTAAATTCACCAATATGAGCACTAGTTCCAGGCATTTTTCCCTGTTCACCTGGGTGTTAGTCGACTGGTGTGGTTGCATCCTGGGAGACAAGATTAAGGACCCCAATGGAAATAAGTTACACAGTCTTCGATGACACTGACTTTTTTGGGTTATCCTGGGTGGCAAATCCTCTGGGGTTAATTGTTTCTTGGGATTCTCAATAAGCCACACACCCAAAAACGGTGCTACAGCAGCAGCAGCAGCTGACGGTGCTACAGCAGCAGCAGACGATGCTACAGCAGCAGCAGACGATGCTACAGCAGCAGCAGATGATGCTACAGCAGCAGCAGCTGACAGTGCAGCAGCAGCTGACAGTGCAGCAGTAGCTGACAGTGCAGCAGCAGCTGACGGTGGTACAGCAGCAGCTGTACCACCAATAGTAGCGATGGTTGATTGGGGTTTATTATACAACCTGGCCAGCTCGGAGACACGCACTCCACTTTCATACTTATCAGTGATCTTTTTCTTCATCTCTATAGTAATTCTCACCCTTATTGCTGTAGGGTTGGCACTAGAAGCTTTCTTGGGGCCCATGGTCACTTATTTTCCAGAAAAAATCACCAAAAACACTGTAATAATACGAAATGTTCCGATTGTATGCTTGGATGTTGCCGCGGAGGCTGGCTGGTAAACAATGCCACCGGCGGAACATGTGAGCGTGGCTCAGGCCGCACATTGGACGTGTCTCGGACGAAGGGCGGTGAGTGGGTTTTTGGGCGGTATGCGAGGCAAAATTTTTGCGAAAAAAGCGAGCGGTATGCGGATTGTACGGTATGCGATGCGTGCGGTATGCGGGGGTCCACTGTATTTCGATAATATTTCTCACCCTTTTTACCACAGGGTTGGCACTAGAAGCTTTCTTGGGGCCCATGGTCACTTATTTTGCAGATAAAATCACCAAAAACACTGTAATAATACGAAATGTTACGATTGTATGCTTGGATGTTACTGCGGAGGCTGGCTTGTAAACAATGCCACCGGCGGAACATGTGAGGCTGGCTCATGCCTCACATAGACGTGTCTCGGACGAACAGCGTTGAGCGGGTTTTTTAGCGGTATGCGAGGCAAAATCTTAGCTATAAAATGTATCGGTATGTGGATTTAACGTTATGTAAGGCCAACGGTATGCGGGGGTCCACTGTATATATACGGCCGAAACAGTCAAAGGGTTAAATGTGTTTTCATTTAGCTTTATTGTAGAGCTAGTTATATACTTATGTACAGCATTCTTGTTTTCCTCTAAAGTTTTTGTTTATAACGTGAGTTTATCTCATCTAATAAGCTTCAGATTTTCAATGCTGGTGAACAAAAACTAGGGGAAAGATTCATGGAACTGTTAGGATGGGCACGTGCCCTTTTCTTGATTTTATACAGCTAATCTTGATTTGTTGTCTGTGCCTTAACTTTAGAAAGCTTCTTTTGATTGGCTTCAAACTTTTAACAATTCTGTATCCTATTTTGTGAGGGTGAGAATGTTTTTGGTATGTGTAGATGCCAGTTTCCCAACATTATTTTTAAAATGGAATATTTTTCTACAGGTTTTAATATGCCACTTTATCAAAACAAATTAGTTTTCATGCAGTAATTGGACAATGCCTCTTCTAGCCAGCTTCACACTTTAAATTCTGGCATATCCTACTTAGAAAAAGCTTAAGAATAATTTTGTAGTCTATAGGTGCCAGTTGGCTTATTTTATTGAAGAAATTTGGAAAACAGAAATATTAGTTTTCCAGCAATAATCTTTAAATGCCTCATCCATTTAGCTACAAACCTTCAATGTTGATAACTAGAGAGTAGAACTTTCAAGTGACTTTAGTACTTAGGGGAAGGGATAAACTTGGAGGGGTCATACAGTACTTAGGAAATGAGAGGCAATTAGGTTTGATCCAGAGAAGGGGAGGGCAGGCTCGTTTCTTTGGATGAAGACACTCCCCCCCATTGACACTTGAATGCTTCCAAGCCTGATATTTAACTATATTAAAAACTTGTATCGTACGAAGGCTGGACTCGTGGAGTACGGGTTACCTTACTAAGGTCATGAAGCGACTTAAACATATCTAGTGATTGATGGAAGTCTTTTTACAGGTATATGGTGAAGCATCATTTGTGTTCCCACTCCTGGTTGGCGAGACATTTGCAAGACACTACTACCAAAATCGAGATGTTCAAACAGAAGAAATGTAATGACAGTATTCTAGCCTAGTGTCAGGAGCTCAATGAATTTATTATTACAATCACAACTACATGTAAGTGCTAAACCCATAATGAGGGTCGTGCAGTGCTGTCAAAGAATTTATATGCAGTGGACCCTAGAATTTCATAATCCCTTTTATGTGTGTAAAACTATAGTTATCCTCTATAAAATGTATTTTTTGTTTATATTTCCCATAATAAAAAATGTAAATCCAATTAATCCATTCCAGACACCCAAAAATATTAACAAAAAATACATTTTATGGAGAATAACTATAGTTTTACATTCAGAAAAGGGGTTATGAAATTTGAGGGTCCACTTGTATACATATTTTATTTAAAGGTAAGACAAGACAGTTGAATATGAAAAAAAAAAATCAGGTAATTTAACCTTTTTTATACTGTGAATATACAAGTCATTGTATATCAGGAAAGAATAAGCGCCAATAAAGCCAAAATCCGTTTTAGTGAATGAACAGTTCTTTAATGGAAGTTATTATCAGAACCCTTTAACAGAGTATAAACACTTGAGCTTCATAGCCCTGATCTCCCCCCGTGCCTGCATTTTACTCCATTTGAATTTGGCACGTAATTTTTTTTTGTCACACTGCCTCGTGTGTTGTGCTTTATAGCCAGAACCTTCCAACTTGGCCTGTAACGTAGTACTCATTTCTGCTATAAGTGCAAAAATCAGTGGCAAGATTAAAAAGCTGTTGTAGTTCATTGATTTTAAATATTACTAAGATATGGGAAGATTGTGTAGAGTAAACAAACCCAGCAAAAGACAGGGGTACTGTGGGCACAATAAGAGAATATTGTATCAGTATATATGGTCTGAGACTTTTAAATATATTGCCAGAAGATATCAGAAACTGCTGGAACAAGTGTAGAAATCTTAGAGAAAACTACACATGTTCCTTCCCCAAGTGTCAAATTAATTCAACTGTGGGCAGCAACAGCCTAGCCTGGGATATGGCTGTAAGAGTAGGAAAACTCAAAGGTAAATTATTAATCAAAAAGAAGCACTAAACCACAAGGGTTATACAGCATCAGAGGTAACTAACTTTGGCAGAATTTTGATTAATCTCTCCTAACTTATCTGTATTAAATTCTATCAAAATTGTTTTATGTATAATAAAGTTGCAACCATATTATTTTATAAAGGAATGTTTTCATGCATAAGTGAAATTTTTCAGAAAGATTTGTTTGACTGACTTTTGTTAACCCTTTCACTGTCACAACCCCAAAATTAAAGTGTGGACAGTGTTGTGATTTTTTTTTTTTTTTTTAACGTTGGCGGTTTCCTACCGAGGCAGGGTGACCCCTGAAAAAAAAAAAAACTTTCATCAATCAACACTTTCACTGTCTTTGCAGAGGTGCTCAGATATGACAGCGTATACATCCCTCCTTTAAAGTGCAGGCATTGTACTTCCCATTTCCAGGACTCAAGACCAGTTTCCCTGAATCCCTTCACAAAAATATTACCCTGCTTACACTCCAACAGCTCGTCAGGTCCCAAAAACCATTTGTCTCCATTCACTATCTACCATGCTCATGCCTACTTGCTGGAAGTCCAACCCCTTGCCCACAAAACCTCCTTTACCCCCTCCATCCTTTTCAAGGATGACCCCCTACCCCACCTTCCTTCCCCTACAGATTTATATGCTCTCCAAGTCATTCTACTTTGTTCCATTCTCTCTAAATGACCAAACCACCTCTTCAGCCCTCCTAATACTTTTAGTAACTCCACACCACCTAATTTCCACACTACGAATTCTCTGCATAATATTTACACTGCACATTGCCCTTAGATAGGACCTTTCCAGTTACAACCCGTGCTTCACACCCATATAAGAGTGTTGCTACCACTAAACTCTCGTACATTCCCTTCTTTGTCTCCACAGATACCTCAGTGCACCACTCGCCTTTTTTTCCTTCATCAATTCCGTGGTTAACCTCATCCTTCGTGAACCCATCCACTGACAAGTCAACTCCTAAATATTTGAAAACATTCACTTCTTCCATACTCACTCCCTCCCAATGTGACACCAATTTTTCTTTATCTAAATCATTTGATACTCTTATCCATGTTCACTTTCAACTTTCACCCTTTATTTTATTTTATACAATTGTAAGAGAATTTTTCTTATATGACACCAAAAATGTGAAATTTGATGGAAAATATACAAAATTACACAAGTGTAAAGGTGGAGCAATTTCTCCCATTCTGTGGCTCTTTTAGGCCAATTCCATTGCTCACATTAACTCAATTCCTGATTTTGCTACTATGCCTTCCATTCAATTGATCAAGCATGAAAAATTTCCCATTCCTCTACAGGTATAACACTGATTTTCTAGCAATGGATTGTCCAGCACCTCTCTTAATTTGGACAAAATTATGAGAGGGCACTTAATAAAAAACTTACTTGAGTAATGTTTGAGGGAAGCATGTGTCTGATGCAGTTACAATTCATTGCTTCAATAGAAAATGTGCATAGTTAATACAATATCAGGGACTGTTATAATTTAACCATACAGTTTTCTTAGTTTTCTTTAAAAAGCACTTAGACTTTCATGCCTCTCTCTTTTTAGCATCTCCAGCATTACTATTATTCCTTCTGAAATTTTACCATTTATTCATTAGTTATAACCTTTCTTACTGTACATATGACTGTAGTTAACTGCACAATAAATCCTACTTAATAGTCTTGTTTGCCCAAAATGCACTGCATACCAGTGGCTCTTTTGCACCTACCATGTTTTATTACATGTAAGCTACACTATACTGCACAAATAAAAATTGTATTGTATATATACTGTATTGTTAATTACCAGAGAGGAGACAGGGTGATGAAAAGGCCTTAAATGGAGTGATGGAGGGTGTGGTGGTGCTGAGTGATTTATTTATTTATGTCTTTGCAAATAGTACATTGAGATTATGTATTTACAATAGTGGGTTGCAATGCAAAGAGAGCCTCTATTATGCCTAGGCATTATGGGCCAACTTAACATTATTGGCTTACTGACTACTTAACACTAAGAATTATATCATAGTTGTACAGTAGATTATTAATTATAAGTGAATCTAATGTATATAATATTCATATATTCAAAAATGCTTTTTGTGAAACGATGATTCAATTGTATTCCTGTCGACAATGGATAAAAGGTTCGAAAGTAATTGTTGAAATTATGATATGGGAATATATATCGAGTATGTGAGTACTGAGTATTGAGCATTTAGTCTAGGGTGATTAAGTGACTTTTGAGAAGAGTCTTAAATTGATTTTCAGACCGGGTTACTTTAGTATCTTCTGGTAATGAATTCCATATTTTGGGGCCCTTTATGTGCATAGTTTTTACACAGTGTGATGACTCCAACTGGCCAGTCTAATGCACATTTAGGAATGCACCGACATTATTTATACAATAATGCAGTAGTCTGCATAACAGTAAATCTTCTATTTTTTGTGTAAATAAAAATTAAAAATGAAAAGCAAGTGTAATATAAGAGGGGCCTGGAGATGTAGCTAAGGAACAGAGAAAATGCTTATTTAGTGCCAGGAATGTCTACATTATTTATTCTGGACCATATTTTCAAACTGGCAATAATTGAATCTTGTATGAAATTGGCCAAATCACCAATTTCTGATTACTTTATTGAGTAGTTGAAATAGGTAAATGGGTGGTTTCTTGTACTCAGTAGAATGGAAGGAATACTAGTGAAATAGCTGAGCTTGGTAGACTGGAACAATGGAATTGACCAAAAATAGAACACAAAGTGGGCAAATCGCCAATGCATAAATATCACAGATTGCTAATTTTGCGAGATCGTAATTCTGTAAGTTTTCGTCAAATTTCATATTTTTGGTTTCATTACCTTCAGAAAAAGATTCTCTATCATTTCATAAGATAAAATAATTTTTTTTTTTTAAATTCTTCAACCCCATGAGCAAATTTGAGAGCAGGGGGTCTCAACACTGAAAGGGTTAAGAAATTTATTTAGAATTTAGGGGCACAAGTTGAAATAATAACATGGAAATGTGATTTTCAAAAGACTGCTCTTGAAAATAGGAATGTGGTTTGCAAATGATTTTTTTTGGAGTTGCTAAGAATTCATCTCAAGTGTCAAATTGAAAAAAAAATAGCTGGAAAATTAAATTTTACTGAAGCAGCTTTGAGAATTGAGAATAACAGAAAATGCATAAATATAAAAAAACTAACAAGAGGTCATATTAATCTAGTGATTGCATGCCTGCACAAAATAAACTCAAAATACATTGTGATGTCATGCAGCCAACAAGAGGGGTATTAACAGGTATGTTCAGTTATAAAAAGGCAACAGCATCACTAGCTTCATTCTAGCAGTACAAGCTCATAAAATTATATGTGCTAACTGAATATGGAAAGCTTAATTTACCAATTAAACAAATTTACATAAATTAACCTGTCTTGGTCATTCACTGCAGGGGGTAGTGGAGGTTTGGAGGCTTGTTGCAAGACCTCTAATCCATAGATTTAATTCTGTGATGTAAACAACCTAATGTGTTCGATTAATAATACTGACCTATTGCATCAGTCATATGAAGTACTATTGCAGTTCAGAATCCTTTATCCAAAATCCTTAGGACTGGAAATGTTTTGGATTTTGGAATATTTGCATTTATAAAATGGGACAGCTTGGGGATGGGACCCCAAGTCTAAACACAGTACTGTACCAAAAAAAAAAAAAATAACTCCTTACAAAAAGAAGATACTGTATTTTACGGCACTGAAGACATTATTTTTTCCCAAAATAAGTCTGGGTAAATTTTCTAGTCTAGGAGGCCAATGGTTACATTGCTTATAGGCCTCAACCTAAGCCTAGAGAAGTGTTTCCATACTAGACAGCAATCTAAGCTCCTGTATATGATCAATAATGAATCATGTAAACTATTTTGCATAAATGATGAATAATCATAATCATAAAAATTTGTTGGGACTTACCACCAGTAGGCTAAGGTAAACCAGGCGATGAAGTCAGATGGACTACAGGTAGTATCAGTAGGCTAATTCGCCTGTTTACCATCAAACCACCCAGTAATATTTTTACTTACCTCAAACGATCCTGATATTAAAGGAACATTATTACATATAAAAAGCAAAGGTAAAATTGCGGTATGTATACAGTAGTAATACACAAAAGCAGCCATTTGCACACTGTAGGTTTGTTTTGGTCATGTTACAGTACAAATGTACTTTTATTAAATAGTAAAATCAATAAACTTAAAAACATAAAATGTTTTTAAAATGCATGAAAAAACCATCACAATTCAATATGCAGTCCTAGCCACACACACATCCAGTTGCACACCTCTATCTTTATCAAGACAGTGAGTAGAAAGAGAACACGTCCACTCAGGTCCAGTTCACATACTGAATGTGACTCACACGAGTGATAGTGTCCTGTAAATGTTCAATTGCAGCTAAACTGAGTAATATTGAAAGACAAAAATACTGCCAAGTACAAAAAAACTGAAGAACCATTCAGTACATAAAGACAGACAATACTTCAACTTGAAATACTAAGTGATGATGTAAGAAGAACAGAGGGAAATATATCTTTGTTCATTACAAGCAGTTGACCATTTAGGTTAAATACAGTCTCTGCTTACTTAGTGACGTACACATTTACCGACAACTCGGACTTACGACGGGTTCTCTGACCAGTATGCATACCTAAAAAATGTATATTAGAGCTGATTTCCTCTATTCTGTTTATTACAATATAAAGTACACTACTTTATAAACATTTAAAAATATACCAGAAATGTTATAAATGGTGCAAAGGTGACATTAAAACAATATCAAAGATGGTTGACACAAATCCACTACCATTATAGTATGCTCCTCACTTAGTGACAAATTCATTTACCAATGTGGTCTTAGGAACAAAACTCCATTGTAAAGTGAGGAGAGGCTATATTTAATGCTGTGTCTTTTCTTAAATTTTTGTAACCAGCCTGCTGAATGTTCACAGTTACTTTCAACATTCATTTCATCACGATAGATTCTTGCTTGTTTCATAATCAGTGTGGAGAAAATTCTCCAGTAAAAGGGGTATCCCTCAGCCCTCTGAGAGACATAGGCCCTCCTGGAAGTGGCTAGTGGACTCTTCCTTCCTCACAAATAGCTCTTTGAGGAACATGTATATGTACCAGTGTCACGAGGCATGCCTTCCTCTCCTTAGCTGGAAAATTAAGAGGAAACCTGCGCCCCACGTGTCCTACAAGTTGGGATATTATGACTTCTAGTATACGGCTAAACAACAAGGAAACAACCTTCTTAAGATATTCCTTGTTACAATGTGTAGCAAGAAAGAGATATAAAGCTGAACTCAGCAGTTCTTTGTGCGGATGTGAACTGGTGGGCGATCTGGGCAGGGCAACAAGATAGGCTGAATTCAGATACCAGAGTGTGAACACAGTCACAAATCTCCCTCTGATAACAAAGAAAATAACGACTCTGTGTGGTAAACTCTGAAATACTGTCAATCTCCACTAGGAAAACCAGTATTAAAAAAAAAAACACGAGTGTATAATCCGCTGTACTATCCCTATAAAGTGTAAAAGTTTGTGTTGCGGTATGCATTCAATTGTTATGAACAAAGGGACAAGATATCACCCTATCGCATAAAGAGTGACCAAAGTGACTCCCTATTGACGAGTGAGGAAATAACTATGCATCTGTATCAGCCTACTCAAGACAACTATACCGGGATATACTTCCCCTACCACAAACTAGGGGAAATTGGGTCGTTACAATACCCAGTTAAGTCCAGCCATACCCACTTCTAATTATGTTAGCTGTAGCTAATAGGTGGAGGTGAGATTTGACTGGAATTACCAGTAGATCCCGTGACATGCGGGTGATTCACCAAAACCCAAGTATCACTACACATTTCAGATGATACTGAAATGCTGAGATATATGCTCCTTTGGGGCCAATTGTATAACAAACTTATTAACCAACAGCCACTGTGGAAACTGGGACGGCACTCCAAAGGGATTTCCAGGGAGAGGCTGCTGGACATCATGCTGTGAAAAGAATAGTAACGCTTGTTTTATGTTTGTTTCGTGCAAGAAAGTGTACTTATCTAACCAGTTCTTCATGATCAGCATTCTGTTAAGCAGCATATGCTCACTCTGACATTGATGAATCCACTCATCAATACACGACCGAGATCTTCATTTTTCCCTCTTTGCAATGCTTTTCTATTTTTTAACTTCTGTACATCACTTTCAACATAGATTCAACAGCTTGGTCTTGTTTCTTTAGGTCAGCGCTGTATAGCCCAAGTGGTTTAGCACTTCTTTTTGATTATAATGATAATAATGTTTCTTTAGGTCATAGATAATGGTTGTTCCAACGCCAAACTTCTCAGTTAGATGCTTCACACTTACATCGCTCTCAAGTTTTTCCAACAACCTGACTTTCTGTAATATAGATAAACATAAATGCTTTCTCCTTTTTTTTTTTTTTTTTTACTATTACCCATAGGCCTTTTTCACATTTTCAAAAATATCTTCACACAAGAGAGCACAAAATATGTGGTAATTATTAAGTAACTGATGCTGACAACAGACCGAATGATCCATTTATGGCGTGTCACATTAACACTCAAAAAACTTTGATTTTGGAATTTTGGATAAAGGAGTCTCTACTCTATACTGTGGTATAAACCTTGGTAATAAATACCGACAAGTTGGTTTAGAAAGACACGTAAGCAAACACTGACATATTTATTAGAAAACGTTTCGGTCCTGGGACCTTGATCACTTCTAACATACAGAGGTAGAAAGGCATTATATATATAGGCGGAGAGTGAGGTGTGACGCACGTGACCTGAGGAATGTCATAAGAACATAAGAATGGAGGAACACTGTAGAAGGCCTACTGGCCCATGCGAGGCAGGTCCTTATCAAAACAACCTCTGCCTATGATGAAGAGGTAGACGTTGAAATCATGTGACTCCTGTGTTGTTGGGTTGGTGGTGCTTAAGTATCATGTATGCCAATGTTTTTGAAATTTTGTAGTTTCCAGTGTTGCGTTCTATAGTGTCGGTGATGGCGATTAGTGAGGCTTCTAGGCACCGTCGGCGTCTGAGGTCTGGTTCGGTGAGAACGAGTTGTGCCTCATTCCAGTTCATCAAATGTCCCGTGGAGTCTCGCCTACATATTTCTTGGGACAGAACCCACAGGGGATAGTGTAGACGCCTGCTGTAGAAGTTAGAGGTGTGGGGCTGCGTTTCGTAGTGAAGTCTTTGATAGATGATGTGTTTATGGTGGAAACGTTGATGTTACTCATAGCAAGTGCCCGGCGAGTATTCGTGGCAACATCACCACATGGGAGTACTATGAACTGCTTAGGGGGCTGTTCCATGGGCGGTTTGTTGAGAAAAGCTTGTGCCTTAAGTCTGCAATCTCGGATGAAGAAAGATGGGAACTGAAGACGTGTAAAGGCTTGTGTTATGTAGAAGAAGAATACACTTACATAACACAACCCTGTGGGTTCTGTCCCAAGAAATATGTAGGCGAGACAGGCAGAGATCTTGCAGTCCGCTTGAATGAGCATCGAAATGCCTCTAACAGAGACGATGTAAGGTACGCCTGTGTCCTCCACAGAGACTCCACGGGACATTTGATGAACTGGAATGAGGCACAACTCGTTCTCACCGAACCAGACCTCAGACGCCGACGGTGCCTAGAAGCCTCACTAATCGCCGTCACCGACACTATAGAACGCAACACTGGAAACTACAAAATTTCAAAAACATTGGCATACATGATACTTAAGCACCACCAACCCAACAACACAGGAGTCACATGATTTCAACGTCTACCTCTTCATCATAGGCAGAGGTTGTTTTGATAAGGACCTGCCTCGCATGGGCCAGTAGGCCTTCTACAGTGTTCCTCCATTCTTATGTTCTTATGACATTCCTCAGGTCACGTGCGTCACACCTCACTCTCCGCCTATATATATAATGCCTTCCTACCTCTGTATGTTAGAAGTGATCAAGGTCCCAGGACCGAAACGTTTTCTAATAAATATGTCATAGTGTTTGCTTACGTGTCTTTCTAAACCAACTCTATACTGTATATGATTTGTAATGTATTAACTTATCAATGAGTTGTTCACATTATTATCCTACTAATGTAAGACAAGACTGAAACCATCTACAGATGACTATGGTATTGTGCCAGATCCTTTCACAGAACTCTCAATATCAGGATACTGTTTCCCATGTTACCTTTTTTCTTAATCAGGGAAAAGTGCTGAACATGTATGGGTCATACAGCACCTAGGCAATGGGAAGTATTCAGGTTCAATCCAGGGAAGGGAAGGAAAAGTCCAGTTCCTTGGATCAAGAGCCCCCTCACTGGCATCGAGGCACCTCCTTTGAAGGGATGCTGTTTTTAACAACTCTGTGGATCCAAGAATGATTAATGATTTTGTTGTTCTTTTCATCTCTGTATCTGATTAACAATAATAGCTAATTCCAACTTCTTCTTTCAACAAATAATTCCAAGGAACACACTATGTAAATGGAAGTGAGACTTGATTACCATATTTATCAAGCCATGAGAACCTGCTGCCCAAGTAAATGAAACAATATAATAATTTTAAGCACTAAACCCATATGGGTCATGCAGCACTGTGGGCAGGGATGTGCAAGGGTTGGTGTGTGTGAAGGTCAGGGGTGTTGTGTGAGGGTAGGGATTAGTGGAGGTAGGAGTCAGTGAGAATGGATGAACAGTGCAGCAGGCCTACTGGCCCATACTAGGCATCTCACCCACCATTAGCACCCATGTTTTACACCACTGCCCATATGTTCTAGCCCTCTCCCACCTTCACCCATCCCCTCACTCACATGCCCTCAACCTCCTGCCCATATGGTGGAGGGGAGGATGGCTGTGGACTGATGCCTTCCCAACATCAGGCTCCCACCTTCACCCATACTCTCCCTCCATGCTTTTTCCCCCACCTCCTTACCATGCTTTCATGGCTCTCACTCACCCACCCACTCCACACTTGAACCCACCTCTCATTATGCACTTGCCCTCACCTGCATATTCTCACCCACCTGCCTCTACCCACCCCCACACCAGTGCTATCTGACCATACACTCCAGTGCCATATAGAACATACAGTGGGTGAAGGGAACACAGGATAGCAGCAACAGCATGCACCTATGGGCAACTCACACCTTTGCTTAGAACCTCACTCATCCTTTTTCACTGAGTACCCTGTCCTTACCCACACACTCCCACCCACTACGTAAGACAATGGACTTGCCCTGAGGCTTACTGTGAGACGGAGGGGAAAGAACATGGCATGTGCCCCATTTTCTCTCCTACATATACTTCATGAAAACTGATTGTTTACAGCGTTCCCCCCAAAAATGCCGATCTGCAACCACGTTATAGCAAAAACATGTTCATAGATTGTGTGTTATCCAACAGTCTACTGTACATAAAAATTCACAACTTACATACTGCATCAACGGTGATTTACAGTTATGGATTTACCTTGATTCTCTTCCCTGCCCAGTGAAAACTTTCCAAGAATCTCTCTCCTTGTCGAAGCTATCGCCAACTTAACAACTTTCTGCTGGCAAGTCTCTTCATCAGTCCTGCTTCACATTTTACTGACATCACTCCAGACTTCTGAGAGCAACAACTTATCAGCAAGTTACAGCAGTAATGAACTATTTACAAGAATAATGAATTCAGCTATAATAGTAGAGGTTGGTTACATAACTAGACATGTTTCAATCAGTGTGCAATCCAAGAAAAGTTTCAAGAAAAAATATTCAGCACTAAATTACAAATATACTTTATTACAAAAGTTGTTAACACTAGCCAAATAGTTATCAATACGTGTATGGTAACTCAGTATATATTAGGTTAGCATACTGAAAGTCATGACTTTGTAGGGAAATGTGATGAAATTTTAGTTAGCAGAAAGTAGTGATGAGCAGAAGTTGGGTGGCAGTTGAGGGTAATTATCTCATCTCTAACGCCTATTCTATCACCTTACTGTAGTAATACGTACGTATATTCCTTTTTAGGCACTATCATGCAAATCATGTAACATATAAAGCTAAGAAGCAAAATATCAGCATTAAAATTCCTTGAAAATATGAAAGAATTTTACATGGATTCTCAGCATCTTCATATACTAGTTGAATCATACTTCTAGTAATTATGTGCCTTACCATGCACCAACAAGGTGTCCCGCAGTGATTGCTAGCACACTCAGCTCACACACTGAGGTCCATGGTTCAATCCCCAGTACAGATGGAAACATTAAGATGTGTTTCCTAAGACACCTGCTGTCCCAGTTCACCTATCAGTAAAATAGGTACCTGGGGTGTTAGTCAACTGGTGTGGCTCACATCCTGGGGACAAAATTTACCTACTTTGCCCGATATGCTCTACATAACGAGAGGCTTTCTATGGAGTAGTATGTCACTGATGTCAGCTAAGCCTGTATACCCTGTACATGTACTTATAGAAATAAAGATTATTATTATTATTAACATATACACAAGGTTTATTGCTGTAATTTTTTTTAACACACTGGCCATCTCCCACCAAGGCAGGGTGATCTAAAAAAGAAACACTTTTGCCATTATTCACACTATCACTGTCTTGTCAGACACACACACATATGACAGTTCAGATGTCCCTCCAAACAGCAAATTTCCCAAACCCTTCCTTCAGAATGCAGTCACTGTACTTCTCACCTCCAGGACTCAAGTCCAGCTAACTGGTTACCCTGAATCCCTTCACACAATATTTTGCTCACACTCCAAACAGCTTGTCAGGCCCCAAAAACCATTTGTCTCTACTCAATCCTATCTAACATGCTCACACATGACTGCTGTATGTCCAAGCCCCTTGCAAACAAAGCCTCTATTACTCCCTCCATCCTTTCCTAGGATGATCCCTAACCTGCCTTCCCTCCACTACAGATTTATACACCCTCCAGGTCATCCTATTTTACTCCAGCCTCTCTAAATGACCAAACTGCTTTAGCAACCCCTCCTCAGCCCTCTGGATAATAACTTAACCACACACCTCCTCCTAATCTTTAAATGTGAATTCTCTTTAAAATATTTACACCACACATTGCCACATATCCAAATTAATAATGAATAAATAAATACACGACATCTCCAATGGCTCCAACCTCCTCTAAGCAGCAACATTTATAACTCATGCTTCACATCCCTATAAGTGTGTTGGTACTACTATACACTTATACAGTCAATTGCTTCCATGGAGAATGTTCTGTCTCCACAGATGCCTCAATGCACCACCCACCCTTTTCCCCTTCATCAATTCTATGGTTTACCCTGTCTTTCATATATCCATCCACTGACATGTCTACTCCCAAATATCTGAACACATTAACTTCCTCCATACTCCCTCCAATTTGATACCCAGTTTATTACTTAACTC